GAAGGCTCAACGAGACCACCTGTTTATTCTTAACCGATGTATATCATAACCTCACCTCCTTCTCGATAGGGACACATTGTGTGCTACGGGAACTACTGTGTGTGCGTTTTTCTTATGCAAATGCGTGAAAATTCGATTTCTCGGGTAACACGGCGAATATTCATATAATAGCAATAGTAGTATGACAGCAGTGATGATTGTGCACCAGCAGCATCTTCTCGAGCGAATCTCAACAGTGTTGAGATACATGATCGCTTTCCTCAGCTGAGTTCAGGAGTTTAGGAGTTCATATATACACATTAGGTTAGAAATACACAGAAATGGGCGAGAATTCACAAAATATTTCAACAGAATCTTCATATTGTCACCAACGTATGCGCACTTAGGTGGCGGAGCGTGGAGGGCTGACGAAAGCGTATGATATTCCCGGTTGTTTTATTATGTGTCCGCCCAGTATGTTCATCTGGGATAAAATAAAAGGCAGAGTTATGGCCGATATGCGCGGGTGAAAATTTGCGTTTTTTTCTCGACATATTGTTACTGGATTTAGAGTTGGAGTGAGGTCATGCTACTTCCCGTTATTCGTATTAAAACAACTCCGTCCTGAGGTGGTTTCATCTGAGGAGTGTTTGCCTGGGGTAGTCACCAAAGCTGGGGAATCAAAACTCAACGAGTTCATGGGTGAGTCTATAGCACCTCCAGGCCAAGTTGTTATTTAACGATCGCATTATTAAATTGGAGTCGTAAAACTTCAAATGGAAAAACGGGCATGATATCAATTTTCTTGGTATTTTCGGGTAAAACATTGTGCAAAAGGGGAGAAATTAAATTTTCCGGAAAAAAATTAGTTTGACCTGAGAATGCTGCAGAGTGGCTGCTACTGAACGAATTTGCTACGCGGTATTCAGAAACGCGTTTAACATGCGATGAGATTGCGAGACGGTGCGCGTCGGACTGGATACGCTCTCATCGAGACCTGCCGTTGAAACTGAACCATTGGGGTAACTCGATTAGGTAATTCGGTTACACCTCGAGGTTGTCATTCACGAGGTTTAAGGTTCAATTCCCGGTGGCGGCATCTTCCTTTTCTCAAATGCCGGGAGGTTCTTCAGCAGGAAGGATATGCTGTTCATGGAACTCTCGAGCAAGTACCTCCTCACCATTCATCCGATCAGCTTTTAATTTTCAATCAGCTTCAGCAGGAGTGTTCGTTCCTCAGACTGAGATGTTCATTACAGACCTTGTCACTATTTACCGCAACGTATTCGAGGAACTCCTCGCTCTACCAACAGAGGAAGGTCATTCGAATAGTGAGATGGGTTACCTAGAGGCTTAGGATCTGAGGCTCCCCAGCGTTACATCACGCCTTTTCCTGCCCTTGCTTCGGCACTGGGCACAGTTCGTAACACTTCATGGGAGGATCCTCCCCTCAAGGTCCAGACACTCGGACGTTCATCACATAGTTCCCTCAGATGGGGCAAATCGTTGGCTTGATGTTCGTGTTGGTGATGAAGAAAGCATACGAGTCTTGACGGTCGCGGTCCGATACAATGACAATATTTACTACGAAGATAGGTGGGGAGTAGTTTTGGAGGAATATATGTTTGCTCTCCTCAGCTGAGCTCAGGAGTTTCCTCACTAATTACAGGAGTTTATGTATAAATTCGGGTAGAGTCTACGAAAATTTCGCAAAATTTCCTCGAAATTTTCATATTGCATTCGCGTATTTTCCAGTACTGGTGTGAACAATTTTGGGTATAAAATTTTTCGTTCAGTGACGGCGCCCGGAAAAGCGCTCATTCGATTACTTGGTGCATCGACTTTGGCGTGATCGGCGCGATGGTTATGGTCCATGGTGACAACAGGGGTCTGGTTGTCCCACCAATGTAGTTCTACCCTATGAGTAATCTCTCTATTGGGGATTTACAGTGTAGCGGAAACACAGGTTGTGATTGTACCTGTACCCCCCTCTAGAGGAGTTGGCCCGACTCGATGGGAGATGGAGATGGACGCAATTGAAAATGAGTGCAGGGTGAGCGGCGTATGCGTTGAACAAATTGACAAAACTCGTTACGAATATTCTCGCACTAACGATGAAGAACTCATCGCTGACGAGCTTTCACACACTACCACTACAGCCGGTGTTCTCAGTAGGGAAATATGCATATGGTCAACTACTACATGTGTCGGTGGCAATATGAAAGTTTTGGGAAAATCGTGTTGTTCTTTGACCATTTCTACCCTAATTCGTATATAAACTGCTGGAGCATACATACTAACACTGTGCTGACTCATTGTCCTCTGGTGTGAATCGATCAACTTCATTTTCCAGGAGCTGCGTGACATTCTATTGAATGATGGAGCCCGCTGTGTTCTCGATGACGATCGGAAGAAAAGACCGGGATTCAAATTTACCAAATGGGTAGGATAGTCGTTCTCTCTGTGATGCACATACGGTGCTTCTTCAGGACCTCCAGGGTGTTCCACTTAGTATTAGAATCGGCAGCAGAGAGGTTGAAACGAATACGGTTACTCTTGCGTATAGACACACTGGTGAAAAGGTTAATGAACACCTATCATGCTGCGGCAAGGTAGAGTTATGTGTTTGACTGCAGCTCCGACTATCGCCTTAGATACGTCTCTATCTGGACCGAATTAGTTCGGAGATGTTATCAGCTGCACGCCGCCCTCACTGATAATCACGCAGTTGACATAATTCAATTTGACTACACTCGTTTCTCACTGTCTATTGTGGTCTTCGTTATTATGAGTGCATGGGGAGGTTGACGCACTTGGATTCTTCGTAACATAGAGTGATTGCCATCAGAGTCTCTTCCGACCGCAGTCAGTGGGATTCAGT